GAAATATATTTTCAGAAAAAGACAACTGCAAATTCTTAAATCTCTGTATTAGCCAAGGAAAGATTTTTTTTTTTTTAGAAACAGTAAATAATATATATTTGTTAACTAAGTTGGTATTGAGCTGCACAAGTAATGTATTTCATTGAATTGATTTACAAACAAATAACATGGTTGTAAATGCAAAGGAGGTTAAATTAGAAATGTCTTATGATATTACGAGAGTTTTGATTGGCCTTTCATTTTAAAAAAAATGAGTATTAAAGTTTCTATTTTTATTTGCATCTAAATTTTCTATAATACCAACTTCATAATTTGCATTGACCAAAGACCTATGTCCCACTGATATTCTGAAGGCACCCTGAAAGCACAGTTATAATATCTTCACAGTTAACATGTTTCTACCAATATCATTCAACCTGTTTTATGTGTTGTAAAAATTTACTTTGTTTTTAAAGCAAAAATAGAATGCTTTAACCATACTGCTACAACATGTTTATTTAATGTTAAACTAATTCAAATTTCAAAAAGTGCTATTAATAATAGGATAGCCCAAACACAGAATTTTTCTATCTCATATAATATGCAATTTTCTGGTCCTTGTTTTAGCTGATTGTATTATTTATTTCAAAGAGAAGTTATTAATTTATCATATGATGAACGAATTTTTTTTTACCCAAAATTAAGTTGTTTTTTGAGTAAATTACAAATGCAAGAAAAAAAATGAAATCTAGTAATTAGGTTTCTTATGGCAACTAAAACTTCTATTTCTCAGATGATTCAACACTATTTTGAAATTTATTAATTTCTATTTGGATTATATTTAAATTTTGATTTTTGTTTCTCTTGTGAAAACTGAATGTAAATTAAAAAATTTAATAGTGATCTTATTTTTTATATTGTCATTATTTATTTAATTTTGTTTGTTATAAACACTAGTTTTTTTGTTTTTTGTTTTTTTAATTTCTATTTAGTATTTTTGTTTCTTAAAATTGACATAATTTTTAGTTGATCTTTTGTTATTTCTGTTTTATTTTGTTTTTCTCCCACTATAGGTTATGGGAAATATGGCTCACATGCCATTTAGATCCCCTTCCATACCTCCTTCTAAGGTTAGTGTGACAATTAAAGTTTTGTACGCAAGACTTGTGTTTTGTTTAATATCAAAATAGGAATTTCAAAATGCTTTTTTTTAATGCAAACTTCTACACGTGCGAGTGAGTAATTCTTGTAGTTAGCTTATATCCATGTTGAGAGTTTTTGTTTTTTTCTACAGTAGATATATAATTGTGAGACCTTACTGTATACATATGTGTCATAATGATGCTACTATATGATTTTCATATAATATGATAAGGAAATCAGCAAAATATCATTTAACCCTTTTTTCCTTGTTTATGACAAGTGATATTCATTATGTAAATGCTTCTTTCTAGTGCTGACTTTCAGTGGGTCACCAAAACTGGTGTAAAATGCTATTTGCTCATTTATCCAACAATTTACCTTCTTGTTTTCAAATATATCTTTTGAACTGAAAAAAAGTTTCAAAAGTAATGAAAATGACTTGAATACAGACAGAATCCTGTTTTACACCATAATCTTATTACCAAATCAAACTACCATTTCTAACATGCAATTCAGACTCTTTTTACCATAAATGTTTTCACTGAAAGAAAAATAATTTGTATCATAAATTTCAATATGTTGACAAATATGGCTTAAACTTAAATCAGTATAAACTTTGTACCAGTAGGTATGCAATTGGTGAAATATGCTTAATTGCGTTAACTGGTTTTAAATTAGCTAGGAAAGTGATGGAAAACCTGGCAGAGTTTTACTTTCATAGAAAACTTGTGTTGTTACCTATTGCTTTGGATTGCTAAAAAAAACTTTGACGTGAAAATGGTAAGAAACTAGAGGGGCACTCAGCCATGCAGCATTGATCATGTTCTGCCCCCCTCTCTAAAACACAAAGAGAATCTGTCTATATGTCCATCATTATCAACAGACCAACAATGAGGAACAATATTCAACACATGTCCACCAAGTTTTATTAAAATCCAATCATTTTTGACTGAGTTATAGAGCAAAAATAGTGTGAAAAATCAGTTCCAATGTTAACAGATTGGGATTTTTTTTATTTTTGTGGTCTTGTTTGTGATCTTGACACTCCAAAAACTAATTACTTCTAAGTTAGGTCATAGTATAATTGTATTCACACTTTCGTTCAAAACCATTAAGCTGTTCTAGAGGAACTTTATACACACACACAAACATGAGTGAAAATATAACCACCATTCACCTTCAGTGGTGGAGGTAAAAGTTGTTGTGAATGTTGACTTTAAGTTAATAGTATTTACAGTTTTGGATATATTTTAGGATTTGTCAATTAACAAAGCAGTTGATTTGTTGTAATAACCATTTTCTAATGCTCCACATTACAAGCAAATGTTCTGTTATAAAGTTACATATGGTCATATTTGCCAAATAATTATGTTAACAAATAGCAGTAGGATAAACGAAACCTTTACTGACTTGTGAGAAGACTTAGAATTCTCCATGAGTTTGTTTAGTTTTTTATGAAAATATATCAAAATGTTTTTGTAATTATCAACCTAACAAAAATTGATGGAGTTTCTTTAACTACTTTTAAACTGTTGTTTTTTTGAGTTTGAAGCTACAACAGTAGGTGATACTGATTTTCATAGAGGTTAATGTTCCTATATCTCGGCAACTGTGATTGTTTATAGTTTAAACCTAGGGTTTAATTAAGTTGTGTTCACATCATTTGTATAAATATTTAGAGTAACTTCTAGTTTCAACTGAATGTTGTATGTAATGTTTAACAGAGCTTTTTTTTTAACCTATTTCATCCAAATGTCAAAAAAGATGGTTCTATCATATGATTTTTTTAAACCTTTGTGCTTTTATGTACTTGTTAATTTTTATTCCAAACTTCTTATTAAAATTTTCTTTTTTATTCACTGTCTTCTTTTAGTTACTTACTTTATAACATTGTAGTTTTTAGAACAAACATCATTATATAAAGAATTTGTTCACATAATGTTTTTTGTTGCTTGATGTTAAGATGACCTTGTATATATTTTTTATTATCTATTTTTTTTTTATTATAGAGTATCTAACTCCTGGTTGTTTAGTACCATCTTTGTTTTATCAAATGTTGAATATCATTGCATCACTTCATGTATGAGATCATTTAGAAAATTGTTTCTTTATTGAGTGGTGTAATTTCTTTCATAATATTTTTTGGGCTTCTTAGAATAATTTATTCTTTGACTTATTATTAACTGATAAACATATATCTTTCTCATAGTTGTATTTTTTTAGATCTCTTAATTTTGTGTTTGTATAACATTATAGGACAACAAGAGACCAATTGGTCCATCTAGGCCTTCGTGTCCACTAAATTAAACTGAACTAAAAATCTCAAAGCCAGCCCTTGTCATTCAAATATTTATGGACCTTGACCTTAAACTCCTTGAACTGCATCTACTATATCTGAGAGCAACCTGTTAGAAAAAATAAAACTGTCTTACCTGAAGTTAACTCCTACCATGCCAAAATTTATATCTTTATCCCCTAGTTCTACCATTTTCATCATTAAATATAAAAAAAAAATGATGCATCAGTGCTATTCTACCAAAACCCTTAATAGTCTTAAACACCTCATTCAGATCCCCTCTAAATTATTTTTTCAAGAGTCAACAAGTACAGAGATCTTAACTTATCCTCACATGATGACCTTTCCATCCCAGGTATCATCCTAGCAACCCTTCTCTGAACCCTTTCCAACAAGTCAGTGTCCTTTCTAAGGTAGGGAGCCCAAGACTGAACACAATATGCTAAATTTGGCCTACCCAGTAACATTTTCTTTAAGTAGTGTGTTTTAATTGTGACTTGCATACAAATAACACATGATCTATGAGCAGGTGTTAACTTTTGCATAACCTACTATTATGGACATTAATTAACTTAATTATATCCTGTAAGTAATGGGTCTTAATCTTGATCTAACCTATGATTAATTAATCACAATTATATATTGTTTGCTTATTAATATCAGTAACTAAAATACATACAATATATTTTGTTTACTGTATAAAAGTATATACAGCATTTAGTTTTAACATTAAATGTAACATGTCCTGTAAATAGTGAGCCATACCTTTGACATAATTTTATGCAATGGGTCCTGACTTTGACATGGTCTATAAATATCCATATTGACCTGACATGATTAAGTAATGACTGAAACTCTTACTTGACCTATTAGTAATGAGTCAAACGTGACATTTCCTCTTAGTAGTGCATTGAAAATGTGACATGTCTTATGAGTACTTGGTTTTGCATTTAAGATGTCCTGTACTAGTGGATTTTAAGTTTAGCATATCCTGTAAATTGTGGATCGTAACTGTGACATGTTCTTTAAATGGTGAATCTTAATTATGACTTGGAAACAAGTAACACATGAATTATGAGTAGATGTTAGCTATGGCTTAACTTACAGTTATGGGTTTTAATTAACTCTAGTATATTCTGTACATAATGGGTTTTATCTTGAATTAACCTAAAATTAATTAATTAATCATTATCAATAACCTATAAACTAATTTATCTTAATTCTGACAGGACCTACAGATATTTGGCCTTAATCCTCAAATAACTGAAGTTATAAATAATGTGAACATTCTTAAACTTGAGTCCGAGTTTTTTTTCTAATATGTTTGTACAGTTAACTATACTATAGCTTAAGCTTATTGTACAAATAAGATGTACAGATTGTAAAAGCATGTTTAATCTGGCCAATATAATTGCGATAGGTTCTTGAAGTATTTTTATTTTTATGCAAAATGTTTTATCTTTGAAATTCATAATAAATATATGGGATTAACATAATTGTTTTAAAATTATGACAGAAAGAAACGTACCACAAAAATAATTTATGGAATGTTGTATCGTAGTATGTTTTCATTTTCTAACAGATAATGAGCCAGGGAGCTGCACTTCAGCCCAAATCACCTATTTATCCTTCACCTATATCATCAGTTGTGTCTTCACCCCAGGCTTTTACTAGCACTCAACTTAAGCAGTTCACATCCTCACCTCAAATCATATCATCACAGACTCCAACAGCTATGATAGCTAGTCATTCCCAGATCCTTGGTGAGATATTTTGTTATACAAAGCTTAACTGTTTACTTTAACTGAAACACTTTCTTTCAATATTCATCTACATTGCTTAAAGCATTTTAAATCTAATATGCTGTTCGTATGCGTGAGTGTATAAAGTTTTCCACCAAACTTATGAATTTATTCATACATTTAATTCTATTGGTATTATAAATTAAGTTTGCTTGGGTGATTATTCAAATATTTATATAATATGACGTAATTACTAATGGATTGATATTTGTAAAGAAGGTTCATGTAAGAAAGTGTACGTGTGTAATAATTGTACATAATAGTAGTGGAGAGCTTCTCTTCCAAAAGTTAGTATAACTTCCCTTCTATAAACATTCTAGTCCCATATGCTGTTGTAGATGTTCATCTTCTGCCATCTGGTGGGGAAAAATGACAAGTACATTATAAACTTTATCTGAGATGGTTATGTACAGTTTTAGGTAACATATTGTTAAAATGTAAATGACTAGAGACCAAAAAGTTCCACATTTTTACATGTAAATAAAACTAAGATACAAGCTACAGAAGAATTAATCCTAGTAGATAAGATATCTGCAGAAGTAGAATTCTGACCGTTTTGGACATGCTTTGTTAAATCAGATGCCGATTTTGTGTATTACATTTGACTATTGCAGTTGACTTTTGTAACTACTGATAAAAAAAAACTTATTTTGTAAAGATAGGGTTGCAATAGAAATAGATTTAAAACTCAGTTTTATAACTTGCAAATTTACATATGAATAAATGGTTATTCTACAAAATAACTTTTAAAATATAGTTTTTGAATATATATAAAATAAATCTAACACTGAAGTAAAATATTAACTTGTTCCTTAAGACCATTGTAAAATATTGTGCAAATTTATATATATTTTTTAATTTTTTTTTCTATTCATAATTAAAATGTTTCTTGTATGATCAAAAGCCAAAATTTAAGTTTGTATACTTGTAGCTAGCATTTCCTGACTTGTAACAAAACCAAATTTGATTATTTTGTATAAAAAAAAAGGCTAACAACTCTAATGTAATTAAGGATAATACATTTATTGTTAATTTCTCCTGATATGTAGTCACACAAAACAGTTTTTTTTTTCTTTTCTTCCAGGATCTATTCAAGCTCTTGGTGCTCCTTTGGGTCAGCCAATAACATGGGCTACCCCAGGAGGTCTTCAATCTCCTGCAGTTTTAACACAAAATCCTATTTTCATACGGAGTCAGCATTCTGATATGTTTATTCAATCCCCTTCTCCAGCACCAGCAGCTTTGCAGGCTGTACCAATGGCAGCTACAGCTGCTGTATCTGTTTCTGCCACTGGTATCCAAGTCCAGAAGCAGAAGCAGGTAGGACGTTATTCCAACAGATGGATGTTTATTCTGTATATTCATTATTAATGGAATATTGTAAATCAGTATATTATGGAGGAATGTTGTTGTTCATTACATTTGTTAAAAACAGGGTGATCAAACATTCCAGTTTGGCTGGAATAGTCTCAATTTTTGGAATGTTGTCCTGGTATCCCAGTAAGTCTTTTTTTTCTTTTTTTGGGGGGGGGGTTGCCTAAATGTCCTGGTTTTTATGTTATTTTTTTCTGTCAGTTGAGTAGGGAATTATGATGCAGTTTAGAATTATTTTACATAGTCTTTGGCCCTTCCTCTGCAGAAGACCTATAAGGCAGGTTGCAGTAGATGACACAAGGTCCCTAATGCATGCATCACTCAACAAATGATTTTGTACCTGCCAAAACAAAGAGAAAGGATTAAATACAAATGTCAAATGCTGTTAACATTCAATATTTGACTTTTAAGCTGTGAAGCATTTATTTAAGGTAACTCAAGGGTGAACATGAATGAAAGGTGCACAGAATTTTGACTCCTGACCAAAAAGAATTTGCTCAAACAAATTCACTTGTCAGAGAGGTATTAGTAGCAGCAGCAATTTAAATAAAAATATCTTTAACATTGCTAATATTATTTGTTTAATTAATTGTTCATAATTTCTTTTAAAGAAAAAAAAAGGGAGGGAGTCCCAGTTTTAAATTTGAAAATTTGGTCGTCCTAGTTAAGAACAGCAATACTGAAGCAGCTATAACTGCTTAACACATGACTATCAATTAATAAATAATAAGAATAATAGTTATAGTACTGCAAAGAAATTGGGAAGTAGAATAGGTACAAAAGATGTGGTAAAAAACATTAGTATCAGTTAACCTTTGTGCACTAAGGAGGCCAAAATACGTATGCCACAAGCTTTGAAAGAGTGCCATTCAACATGATATTATGTATTTGATTTCAGATTTATCAACTATTTGCTTTGCCCTAAACTGCTGATTTAGTGACAGGTTGGGATAGAAGAGTGTAAATACCAGAGATATTGAAAAAAATTGTAGATACATGTGTTGGAGGTTCTATAGGTTATAGAAGTGCAATATGTGGGATGGACAAAAGAATTTTAATTCTTTACATGAACTGTCACCTTGCATTATAACTTGTCAGAGTGAATGTATTGAGCTGACCTTGTGCGCATTTGGTTAATCAGAATGTAATATAATTGTAACTCAAGGTGCATTTGATACCAGTAATTATTTTTGTAAAAACTATAAAAAACGAAAAAAAAGTTGGTGAAAAAATTTCACAGCCTTAATTTATGTTTTATCAGACCATTAGCATAGATGAAGAAATCAACAACATCAAACATTCCTTCATTTACACCAACAAATTTCCACCAGCTATTGTTGAAAAACTCTCCAATATTCACCACAATGAGACTCAACTCACGAACAAAATTGATACTAACAAACCCAACAACAGAACATTACACTGCAGTTTACCTTTTGTCCCTGAAACCAGCTCAAGAATAATCCACACTTGGACAAAACTAGCCATTAAATACAAAATTCCTGTCAATGTCAAATTCTCTCAAAAATTATTTAGAATCACACAATACCAATGTCATTTACAAAATTACATGAAATAACTGCACAAAATTCTACATCAGAGAAACAGGAAGAAAATTGGAAACCAGATTCGCTGAACACTAAAAAAAAAACGTTCCATGTCTTCCACCATTGCAACTCAAAAAAAAACCATAGTATATCTATTAAAAGCACAGTAATTTGAAACAAAGAACCAAACATAGACAAACGAAAAATCAAGGAATCCATCTTAATTGAACAAAACAATCCTACTCTAAACCAACACCCTGGGGTGCCAAGGTATCTCTTCTGAATCATGCAACAATATCCATTCTTGTGACCTCTTTGTTCTATACTGTGTGTGTGTGTGTGTGTATATATATATTTATTTCCTATAAAATGATTTTAAATTTATTTGTGGTTATCGTCAAGTAATTGTGTAATATTATTTTATTGATGATGACAAAACTTGTTCAAGTATTCTCTGTTTTTCAGACTTGCATGACATGGGAAACTCCAGTAATATAACATTCATAAATGTAGTGAGTTTTAAAATTTATCAATTGTTTGCTTTGCGAGTGACTAGTATAATTTCTTTAAATTATGATTAAAAAAACTAAAATGATTTTTCCTGTTTGTAGGTTAATAATTCCTTTAGTGTATTGTATATGTATCCTATCTAAAAAAAACTTCATGTATGATTGGTCTATTCTGTGTAATCATTTAAATGCGTATAATTACATAGACTTAACTCTGTAATATCTGTGAACACAGGTACGCCCTGCTAGTTCTGTGGCTACTCAAACGGTCATTTCTACATCTGTATCTACTCATTCTCAGGCTAATACTCCCATTCGTTCCCAGGTATGTGGTTTGATTTACTTCTCATTTGGTGCTATGCATGTCTAGTAGACTCTCCTTTTATATAACATTAAAAATTACTATGTTAGGAAAATAGGAAATGCACCATTAGAGATAAGAGATTATTTGTTAGTATATTTTAATTCTCAATATTTCAAATACATATTTCACTAGAAAAGAAGAATCTTGCTGTTGATGTCAAACTTGACTGATTGCATGGGAAAATAACTAGAGTTCTGCATATGTTTGCTAATTATTTTGAAAATTAGCTCATATGAGTAGAAGCCTATTATTAAAGTAAGCAAAGAATAACTGGGGTAATATGAATGATGTACTAAATTTAGCTTGAGGTGACCGAGGTAATCATTATAATTGTTATGCAAAGAGTATAGTTTTCTTTGGAATGTTTCACAATTATTTACTTATTAAAATTATGGAGTAAACCAATATACGTGGAAAAATGGGGAGAAAAAATGTACTTAAAAATTTTGTGAATATTTGCAATTTCTTTCTTTAATTGTTGCCCAGCAAGAATTCTGCTAAGAATTAGAAGTCAAGAAATTGGAAGCTAATTCATTGTTAAACATTGATTGTCCACCAGTCTACTCACAGAGAATTTTTAAAACAGTAAAAATTACATTTATTACTATATTGCATAGCTGGAGTACCTATCCCCTGGATGGAAGTCATGTAAATTCATGATTAATGAAAGGTTATCTTAGGACATGAAAAGTTGCTTCCTTTATACGTAATTGTAAAAACTGCAAAACACACAATTTGAAACTGATACTTTGCATGTGCCTGTATATTATTCTGTATATTACCTAAATAAACAAAAAATAAACCACACTCTTGGAACAATATATTGACACAAAGACTAGGAAACTAGTTTTCACACTTTCATATGTCCTCTTCATTCCTACAGTCTTCTAAGAAATACCTTGTGTTTAGGAAACAGTTCAGCTTGAAGTGGCCTTTAGAGGTATTAAATTTTGGTACACTTTCAACAATACATCTTTCATTAGTTTTTATTTTTATGTAGTTTCTTGTTTTATATATCATTTTGATTGATTTCCTGTTTATAGAGTGTCCAAAGTCTCTTGTGTGGAGAAATATTGCATTATTTATATTTTCGTTTGTAATATTCCTTTTATGTTCTGTTATTGTTATGTTTAAATTTCTTCATGTTTCACCCATCTAAATGTCTTCACATGTTTGGTGTGCAACAATATAGAAACTGTGTTCTATCTTCTTATATATTTAAAACTAATATTTTATTCCAAAAACGTGGTTATGTTTAACATTCAGACATTAGAAGTTTACTTCTTTAAAATATTTTTTGAAGAGTTAACATTCAATTATAAAACATAGTTATTAAGATACATTAAGTTATGTAATCTGACAATGCTATAACTTTTTATTTATGTAACTAGATTATAAAAAAAAATATCATGCTGCATTGAAAAGACTATTATATCTGTTTCACTACCCTGTTCATGATACAAGGGAAATATTAACTATGCAAATAAATTACAGTGGAGAAACCTGTTATCCGTTATCATGACTATAAAGAAAAAATATCATTATATAATAATATTCTTCCTTCTAAAATTGAGTGAAATACAAAACTAACAATGGCTTCAAAGTTCTTATTAAAATATTGATAACTGCAGAAGATATGAAAGTTTTACCTAATTAAAATTGATACAATGTTATTTGGTGGCAGTTGGACAGAAGGCATGCACATTTTAAAATTAATATCACAACAACACAAAATATATTATCAACACAAGTAAGTGTATACCAACTACAGCTGGGCAATTTGTGGAATTTGCCAATCAATTAACTATCTTGGCTCAATATTACCTTCAACTAGTCAATTATTCTTGTGAGATGGCTTAAAAAAACAACCAAAAATGAACCACTTATTAGCTCATGAGTTGACTAAAAAGCCCCCCCCCCCACACACACACATGCACACAGTATGAAAAGAAACACCTTATAATTCTACAGTTTAGATTTTGATAGCTGTAATGGACGTAGTACAGACAGCCCATTGTGTAGCTTTGTGCTACAGACAAGCCTAGTGGCAAAATTTCAGTTATTTGGATAGTAATAATTGGAAACCCTAGTGTCGATTAATTGATTATTTTCTTGAATTAGTGGAAAATAATAGTTAAAATTCATAATGGTAGTATTTCAAATTACTAGATATTTGGAAATATTGGAAACAATAATTTTGATTCGTTGATTGTTTTTATTACCTTAATGTATTTAATCATAACTTCAGTTAATAAATTAATTTTTGGACACTAATTGATGTAAATTGCTCATAGGTAATCAGTTATTTCAATTAATCAAGTCACTTGCCAAGCTCCAATACCTACATGGTATATTACATAATATAATGTTTAGGGAGATGACAAGGGACCTATTGGTCCACCTCTGCTGTCCCACCTTCTAAACTAAACTAAAACTATTAAATGAATATACTTAAAAAAACATAATAATACCAGCCCAGTTATCATTCATATAGTTATCAAACTTTCTCTTAAACTCGCTTAAATTTACTGCCTCCACAATATCCAAAGGCAACCCATTCCAGAGGCCAACCACCCTGTTAGAAAAGTAAAACTGTCTTAGCTGAAGATGACTTCTTACCTGCCAAAGTTTATATTTGTGTCTCCTAGTCCTACTATTTTCACTGTTAAGTATGAAAAAAGATGATGTATCAACACTATCAATTCCCCTTACAATCTTAAACACCTCAATCAGATCTCTTCCCCTCCCCAACTCTCCTTTTTTTCAAGAGAAAACAATTTCAGAGATTTCAATCTTTCCTCGTATGACAACCCCTCCATCCTAGACCCTATTCTTGTAGCCCTCCTCTAAACTCACTATTCAATGTCCTTCCTAAGGTAAGGAGCCCAAGATTGAATACAGTATTCCAAACGTGTCCTAACCAGCAACCTATACAATAAAATTATAACCCCTTCTGTAGATACAACCTAAAATTGTATTTGCCCTACCACTTGCAACAGCACACTGCTTGGATGATTTAAGTGAC